ATTTTTTGATCTGATCTGATCTGATCTGAATGTTTCTGATCTGGTCTGATCTGGTCTGAATCTTTCTGATCTGATCTGAATGTTGCTGATCTGATCTGAATCTTTCTGATCTGATCTGAATGTTTCTGATCTGATCTGATCTGATCTGAATCTTTCTGATCTGATCTGATCTGATCTGAATCTTCTGATCTAATCTGATCTGATCTGAATAAAATAAGATTAAGGAATAAGTAATAAGATTAAGACGAACGGAACAGCTTCTAAATTACCTTTAATGAATTATATTACTCCCTCCGTCCCATTAGAAGGTTATCTCTTTCCTTTTTTAGACGTCTCATATAAAGGTTCTCGTTTTCCATTTTAGGAAACAATTAACAATCTTAAGTTACAAATTAATCATTAAATATTAAAAATAATACATTTATAACATCACAGTTATCAATACTAACTACATTATAATATATACCTATTAAAATTATTTCTCAAAATATATTCAAAGTACTTTATTTAATTATTGTCTAAATAACCATGCCGTTTTGCTATGGGAACCTTCCAACGGGACGGAGGTAGTTCAATTTTAATTAAAAAGAAACCCCTAATAGAAGTGATTTTTACAAGAATAGTACTAAAATAAAACTTGTTTACATAAATATGACTATTCATTACTACAACGTAGTGTTGTGGTAACTTAAGTTCAAAATTTGAACATGAATTACTATGATTTCATTACTACTCTAGTAACTAGTCATAGTTTTGCAAATCATCTTTATTTTGGTCATATTTATATAATTATTTCCTAATAGAACTACTGCCCTATACCAAGCCTCCTTATTGATGCCTGATCTCTTGATAGGAAGTTGCCTCTGCTCCTTAGGAAGCTTTAGCTCCTCTTCAGAGTTGTTCATCCTCGGCAGGAGGTCAAGGCGGGAGGGTTTCATGTGATGGAACCGCCGGCGCAGCGTCCTGTATATAAGCTTCTGCGTCCTGAACTCGCCAAGGGAGAAGAAAACGGTCATCTCCGACAGCCAAAAAGCTTGGCCGATGAAATTATTCTCAGTCCAGTCCTTGAACTTGGTGGCAACAACCTCATAGCACCATGGACAATGTTCCTCAGTCTTACAACCCACGTCCATGAACTTGGCCACGACCTCATCAGCAGCCTTCTCCATCTGAATCTTGAGCTGCTCGGCTTCAACAACATGCTTCTCGATCTCGTTCTGAGCTTTGATCGAGGCGTCAAGCTTCGTCTGGAGATCGTGTTTCTCAATTTTAGCCTCATTGGCTTGCTTTCTTCAAGCTTAACTCGCAGCTCATCTGGACTCTTTAGAGACGCATCAACCGCAACCCCGCCTTAACCTTCAACTCTTCAATCCGAGCTAGCTTCTACTGTCGTCATTTTTTCATGCTCTAGCATAAGGAAGACACATTGAAAAACATGAACTTAGCAAATTCAAGGTAAGCAAAAGAGAAGTAATAAAATAAAATGACCAATGTGAAGGTCTTACACAGAGGATGTTGTCCATGGTGCCACCACCCAACTTGCCGCTCTTCTGACCTTCAATAAATCTTTGATCCCTCACCGGCACAATACGGGAGACCAACTCATGGGTGCCGATGCTAGAGTAAAAAATGTCCCCCGTCTTGGGGGTATCGATAGGAAACATCAATGTAGCCATCGTCCTCATTTTGACCAACGCCGATAGCACCAGCACTGCTCGACAGAACCTTTATGTCCAGGGACATGGGCTGCACGGTGCCGCCGAACGACGGCTCCACAATCATGTCTTCAATCATGACGATGTCCTGATCTTGACACGTCCTTTCAGCATGCCTCTACTTCTTCGAAGGCTTCAATGGTTGCAGTCCTGCCTCGGTAAGGGTCTTCTAGTCCTCAGTGGCGGTAGGCTCCTCCTCCTCCTCCTCAGCCGAAGTTTTGTATGAGTAAACTAGACTTAATGAATAAGATGCTAAAAAAAATCATGAAAAAAATTCCACCGGGAACTGCGCCAAATGACGACGGTCTAACAGAACCTCATATTTAAGGGGTGATTTGCATAATTTTTTTTTAATGTAAATCGAGAACTTATTTGGTATTTCTCCCTAAATCTTTAATTGAAATAAAGAAATTGTTCAAAATGGGACTAAAACATGGACTAAACTCCTAAATGGGACTTCAAGTTTTTTATTCCCTAAATAGGACTCCAGATGACCCTTTTACCCTTCCTCTTATTAAACTCAACTTCGCCTTCTCTGTTCTGCGATATCTTCCGCCCTAGGTCCCGGCTCTTGCGATTTCTCCCATAGGCGCCATCAATAGCAGCTCTCCCGATCGAAGCTTCCCAGGCCATCGGCTAAATCAATAGTAGCTCTCCAAATCCAAGCCGCTGCAGGTTCCTCCAAAGATTGCAGGTATCCTCCTCCTCTTCCTCTTCCTCTTCTTTTTCTTCTTCTAACCCTGGCCTCTTCAAATTTCTAATCCTCTGTTTTCTTTTTCTTTTCATTTTTAGGATTTGAATTTTATTTATTAATTTGGAATTTTTGGATCTGAATTTTATCTATTCAGCAAAATGCCACTTTTATAATCTGAAATGTCAAAATTATTGGTTATTTTAAAAAATTGTCACATATGTGACAATATATTTAGCAGGATGACAATCTGAAAATGTCATATGTCCATAAGAAAATGTCATTTTAAATCATTTTATGGCATTTTTATGGCTTATCTGAGAATGACATAACTACTTGTTATTAGAAATGACATGTTTTTTTGACAAATTTACCAATGATGTCAGAACTATCATCCTCAAATTGCCATTATTTTTCATCTAAAAATTCATAATTTTTACAACTGAGAATGTCATGTCTTTATATGAAACTTCCATCATCATGACATTTTCGGATATAATATTGCTAAAAATGACAACATTTGGCAATCCAGTCAAAAAACATGTCATTATTGACATCTTGATATAATATAATGACATAAAAGTGACATTTTTTCTAATAACAAGCATTTATGGCATTTTCATACATAAATCTAATCAAAACCAAAAAAAGTAATCAAAATCCAAATATTTTCGATCATGACCATTCGTTGAATTGTCGTTTTTATCTCAAGCTTTCACACCCAAAATAGTATTTTTTTTATTTATAATCTGAAATAGTAAATGAATTAACAATAAACAAATTTAAAAATGAAGAAATAAGGATCTGGAAGTAGAAGATGAGAAGAAGAGGAGGAAGAAGAACGAAGAAGAAGAAAGAGGAAGAAAGGAGAAGGAAGAAGAAGGGAAAGAGGAGGAAGAGATTACCTCGTGCGCTCAATCGGACCAAATTATGCGACAATGTAATCGCCGATGCTAGTCTACTGGTTAAGTACTGGAGCGATAATCATTAAGGGTATTTTTGTCTAACTAGGTAATTTGTAGTCCTAGTTTTGCAAATTAAACATAGGAGTCCTAGTTTTGCATTTGTTTCAAGTTTTAGTCTTAGGCTATGTTTGGCGGTCATAAGTCCCTGACTTCTAGCTTTTGTACTGTTCAAAAAGTTCCTAAAAGCTTCTAGTTGTGTGTTTGGCATGACAATATTTAAGAGCTTTTCAAAAATTAAAAGATCTTTTTTGAGATGCTACCGGGAGTAGCATCTAAGAAAAGCTAGTGACTTTTAGTATTAATTAATCCTAACAGCTTGTATACCAAACCGAATTAAATCAAACAGTCAGCTTTTCATCAAACAGCTACCACAAAAGCTAACAACTATTGAAAAGCTCACAAAAGTATCTTTTCAGCTAGTTGTGCCAAACATGCCCTTATTACAGTAATTCTCTCATTGAAATACGAAGTACATGTTAGATCACACATAATTTGTAATTATGTACATACATGTAATTCGCTTAGAAACTAGGAGTATTTTTGTACCGGCAATTAAGAACGTGTAATATGGAGGAAAAGGTCAATTGAGTGCACCAATTTGTATGAGGTGGAATAAAGAGTACACTATATTGCATTTGATCTTTTAAAGTACATAAATTCGGGTTTATAGTGTTAGTTGAGTACACTCGTTAGATTAACACATTAATACAACAGAGTTAGCTAACGGAATGTTGAGTAAGAAGAGGTAATGGGTCAAGATTATGACGCTGACCTTCACGAAGTTGATCAAAAAGGAGAAAATCGACCTTCAGAGGTTGACCTGCGGGGGGCGTCGGCCAGCAGGGGTACATCGATCTAGGAGAAGTTGACCTGCGGGAAACTGACGTCGACCAAAGAGAAGTCGATGAAGTGGCTGGGGACTGGCTCGACCTTCAAGAAGTCTACCTATTAGCGTTCTGTTAGCCAACTCAGTTGTATGAACGTGTTAATCTAACGGGTATACTCAATTAATACTAAAAACCCGAAATTGTATACTTAAAAAGATCAAATGCAATATTGTATATTCTTTACTCTATACAAGTTGATATACTCCGTTGACTGTTCCATTATCTGTCTTCACTTCTTCGTTTCTCAAATTTTTTTTCACTTCTTCATTTCTCTTCTCAATCCTCTATAGTCTTTCTCATCCTGGTACACTGCAGACCGCCACCATTTCCCCTCAGCCCCACTGGTATCTCTTAAACTCTTCTTTGCCCATGGCGCACTTGATCAAGAGCTTTAAGGTCCCACCAAACTCGGTGAGCCTGGATGAGGCCCGCCACAGAACGTTTGAGTTCTTCCGCATGTGCTGCAGATCCATTCCTCATATTATGGAAATTTACAATCTCCAGGACGTCGTAACCCCAACCCATCTCCGCTCCTCCGTTGCATCTGAATTTCGCAGGAACTCCAGCATCACTAACCCTAAGGTAATTATTAATTAAGTCAACAAGCAACCGGGGGGATCACTGGCTTTCGTTTCATGCGTTAATAGTAGTTTAGTTAGTCTGGATTCTGGAATTTAAGTTCTAATAAGTGCCTGCGTTATTGAAAACGAGTCTGTCCTTCATGGGGTCTTGGGATTTTGAGGAATTTGAGGAACTCATTTGAAATCAGCTTTCATTTTGAGTTTTGCCTTTTAATTAATTTGCTGGAAATTATGTAGTCCTTGCTTCTTCTTCTTTTGCTTTATTCCCGGTTGTAAGGTTTAGCATAGAAAATATCAAGATTGTTAGTTTCTGTTATGAGTTTATCTAGTTAAGATTGGATCTGTTTGTGAAAAGAGTAATCTTTTGAACTTTTTTATCCATGAAACACAAATGGGTGGCAACAGTGCGGCAAGAATTGAGGACATGAGTTTATGGAGATTGGATATAGAATAGGAAGGGGTTGTATTTTATAACATGGTGAAAGTTTAGAGGTTTTTTTTGGTGGTATGGGTGTGACCATGTGAGGCAATGTTGTCATCAACCTTGAAATTTTCTGGGAACAGAGAGCTATTTTTAGTACATGGTGCTTTTCTTTCATCAAAGGGAAGTTGAGGGGAAGTTAGTATATGGAAAAACCGAGGAAGTGTCAGACTACTTTTCAGAAACCACATTTTTCAGTTAAAGAAAGGAGTAAAATAGGCGAAAATACCAAGTATATACTCCATCCTTTCCTAAATAATTGTGTCACTTTCCTTTTCGGGATGCTCTAAAATAATTGTCTCACTTCCTTTTTTGGAAAAGAATCTACTCCAAAAGTGTATAGTACTGCTACAGGATAAAAAACTCACTACTTTTTCAAACCCCCTCACACATTTTCTCAGAATGTGTGAAACCCATTCTGGGACATATAATGAAGAACAGATGGGAGTAATTTATTTGTGTGGTTTTAAAAGGCGCTCAGGTGCAGGTTTTAAGGCGCGCCTCAAGGTGAGGCATGCATAGAAGGTACCAGGGCTTAGTTTTTTTCGTAGGTAAAGAGGCTTACGCCTCCAAAGTTAAGGCATACGTCATGAGGCGTTTTCTGATGCGCAACTTCCTTTGTTTCTATCATTTTAACGGGTTGTAACTTAAGAAAGGCCCATACATTAAATATGTCACCATAGTCCACACTAAACCCCTAAAAAATCTTGTTTTCTTGTTCATTTAAAGTATTCATTAATTAAAGTGGTTGAATACATATGCACATAGAAGTCTGCATACTCCTGCACAAAGAAGTCGACAACTTTTTACAAACACTCCATTCTTCTAGGTAACTTCTCTTCTCCTCTGTTCTACTTCATCCTATTCTCCTCGTCTACTACTCCTCTTCTTCTACATCTCTTCTCATTCATCTCCTCTCCTCCACTACTTCTTCTCCTTCTTGGACTGAGTAGTTGGTCATGTTTTCCTAGAACTGATCAAGGTTTTACACTTTTACAAAAGACTGAAAGATAGACACCTTAGATTAAGATCCCTAACCAATGATGAGGAAACTCTTTTGGTTGATGATTAGCCATTTAGTGATGAATGACTTGTTTTCGCGCATGTGTTTGTGTTTGAGATTTTTTGGACTGATAAATCATACTTCGTACATTTCATTAGTTGTTTATTATTAGTTTAACTATTTTAAGTTTTATTTGTTGGTATATTTTGAGGCTTAAGCCTCACCTCTCTAGAACAAACCGCCTCAATACTGGACTAGCCTTTTTAAATCTTGCGTATATGGTCTCATATTAAGCACAATATTTTTGTTCAATATGAGAGCATACGTTGAAGGATTGATCTTATATTGTTTGTTTCGCTCTTTCTCTATCTATTGTTTTTAACTCCGATATTATACAAGCATTCACGAGATCAGATCCCAAACTTTTTTGGGAACAAGGCTGGGATGTTGTTGCACTTAGTGGCACAAAGGTGGTATTGCAGTATATCATAAAATTTTTAGGCATAGCGTTTAACCCTGAAAAGCGTTTTCTGGTGTAGTGGGTGTAGATGGGGGTTGACGATGGCTCACCCCAAGTTTGGTAAAAGAAACATAAAAAATAAATTGCTCTAAATAGGGTACAAATGTTTTGGAATTCCAACACAGGAGCACTACGTTTTTATTCTCTAAATACTTAAGAGGAGCGATTACTACCATGCTTGGGGAATACTGTCATATTTAAATCTTGGTAATGCACATATCTTGGTAATACTGTCATATTTAAATCTTGGTAATGCACATATTTGGCATTAATTTTTCAAGATGACATGTACTCCTACAACAACAACAACATTCGAGCCTTAATCCCAAAAGATTCTGGGGTCAGCTAACATTAATCGATACATGATATCGGAACCAAAAGGAAAGGAGAGATAAGAAAGATAAAAAGATAAGCTATGATATAAAAGATAATATAAAAAGAGATAGGATATACATAAAAAGAGTAGAATAAAAAGGATAAAAAGATATATGTACTCATATTTCAGAATTTTCCCAAAATAATAACGTAAACTTTTTACTGTACAAATTATTATGAATGGTTCTTTTCTTTGGCAAAACCATCTTTTCTTTGGCAAAACCAGAATTTGAATTTTAGGGGTCCTGGGTATGCCCATGGCTGGTACTTTGGATGCACTTGTTAAAAAAGACTATTGGACAGTGGGAGTATGGTACATTAATTTTCAGGTGATAGTGTCTTAGGCTATGTACATCCGACCCCCCCCTTACCCCATCGTAGGTGGGAGCCTTTGCGGCACTGGGGTAAATGATGATTGATGATTGATAGTGTCTTAGGCTATGTGTGTGAGTTGGTTTTGGAGGGTTCTGAATCAAAGAGAAGGAAGATGTTTTTTTTTTCTTTCCATTTTTGAACAGTATTAACTTGATAATTTTTCAAAGTAATAAAGTATAAATTAGTACTCCCGTGTTTTAAGATTGCTACATTAGCTTTGGCACATTATTTAACGAGGAAAGTAATAGGGGTAATGAATAATGTAGAAAAAGTAGGAGAGATGGTGTAAACGTATGAAAGAGAAGAAAAAAGTAGAAAAATAAGGGTAATTGAGTATTTTAAAGTGAACCGTATCAAAAGGGGTAAGTGTAGCAAACTTTTAAATACATCCCAAAAAGGAAAGTGTTGCAAACTTTAAAATACGGAGGGAGTATTTAATGCTCTTGTTCTTTTGATTGAAAAAATACCCCCACCCCACCTCTGAAACCCTCCACAAATATAAATCCCAACTCTGTGTATCACTATCTAAATATTCTTGACAACATAATTTCTTGCCATGCATTCCCATTTATTTCCATCTAAATGTGGGCAGCATAATTATTAGTCTCAAGAGTATTGTGTGGCACTTGAAGAACTACAGTTGAAGTGTTTTCATCTGAAAATTGAGATGAAATGTGTATGACGATAGGGGTTGATGTGTTCCCATCTCCTTGTAGAAATGCGGATAAAAATGTTTTCCCCTTTGTAATCAGATCTCTATAATTTTTTATTTTTCTTGTATTTCACACTCTGTACTATTTATTCCTTTTGTCTTTAATACGACTTTAGGTCCTTTGCATAAACTGTACAGAACCATATCTGACCCATCACCAATGAAAATGATCCTAACATAGTTAATACTGATTTTTTTTTTATTTCTTCTGAGTGTAGAGAGATATTGGAAAACAAAAACCTATGATGACGATTTTAAAATTTCTATTTCATTATTTCTTCTGAAGAAGGACGCTATACGGATGATATCTGGCGTACAAAAATTCCAGTATACTTTTCTGCATAAGTTTATTATTATGTTAAACTAGTTTTTGAAAATTAGTTGACCAACCTCAACTTAGTTTGAATCAAGACCATGGTGATGATGATGATAGTGATAAGTCTTTGTTGCTTTTATTTAAAGTTCTAGGGTATTTCTCATGCACAATTGATTGATGATGATAGTAGTGACTAGCCACATATATGATGTTCGTCCTTTTCTATTTTCGGCTTTGAACTGAAATCGGAAATGCCACGCTTTCGAGTGGGAGCCCACTATCCCATGCATCAGTAAAATCTATTATTTGGGAGTCTCTCTTTTGGGATTACAAAGGATTGTTGCAATATTCTCCTCCCTCATTGTAAATGCATATCCTAAAACCTACTCTCTTCGCTGTACAAAAGCTTTTGTTTTGTCAATAATAAGTCATTTTATAAAACTAAGAGAACATGTAGTACTAATTTTCCACTTTTCCCCTTTTGCTTCTCAATTTTAAACTGAAGTAATTTCTAATAGTTCAAAGGGGTTCAATTTAGGATAGTTAAAGAATAGTCCTTCACTTTTTGCAATTAGTCAAAGGGGTACAATTTAGGAAAATTAATGAGTTATCTTCATCTGAGTTTATTTCTTAAACGTCAATTAACATGAAACTGATAAAGTAGCATAATCAAGTGACCTGCTACTGTTAGGTGACTGCCTGTTCACTGTGACTCCAATGCTTTTCATTTGTGTATTTGGCTACAACAACAACAACATCCAAGCCTTATTCCGAAAAGATTTTGGGGTCGGGTAACATGAATCGATCCATGATATCGGAATTGAAAAGAGAAGAAAGATAAGAAGAATAAAAAGATAAAGTAAGCGAAAATGGATAAGATAAAGATGACTACGATAGTATAAGATAAAAATAACATAAGAACATAAGAAAGATAACAAATAAAAAGATAAAAGAGCATATTAAAAATAAAAGATAAAAATAACATAAGAACATAGAAAGATAAAAAAGATAAAAGAAAAAGAAAAAGAGAGAGAAAAGAGAAAATAAACCAATCGTCCACACGAATATATGCCCTCCCTTTTGCTCTCTCCAAAGTCATACTCCCATCCAATCCAAGAAGAAGAATATTCATTCTGATTCTTCTAATCCAAGTCTGTTTGGGTCTTCGTCTCCCTCTCCTCACCGCCTATTCTCCCCACCTCTCAATTTGTCTAATAGG